ATCATGGCATTATCATCTTGGTCATATGTCTTTCAATTCTGTAAAACTTTTGTTTTCAAAATTATTTGACTCAGTGTCAAAGTTGAACTTTGAATGTGAAATTTGTCATCTATCAAAACAATGTAGAACCACATATTTTGCGAATAGAAAAAGAAGCAATGTTGCTTTTCATTTGATTCATACTAATGTTTGGGGCCCATATGCTATCCCTTCCATGGGTGGGTATAAATATTCCATCCTCTTCATTGATGACTACAATCGGTATACATGGCTCTACTTGATGAAAAGTCGAGATGAAGTTCCTATGGTGGTTTAGAACTTCATAAATATGGTAGAGACACAGTTTGAAAAAACAGTTAAGATAATAAGATCTAACAATGCCAAGGAATACTTTGAACATCATTTGCATAGATTTCTTGAAGATCGGGGCATTATTCACCAGAGCTTATGTAGTCATACTCCACAACAAAATGGGGTAGCTGAAAGGAAGAATAGGCATGTGGTTGAAGTTTCACGAGGTTTACTATTCCAGAATCATGTTCTCACCTGTTTCGGCATTTCTAGGGTGATGCTGTTGAGACATTTGTGTATCTCATCGATAGACTTCCTTCAAGGACCCTTAATCTTCAGTCTCCTCATCAACTTCTCTTTCTTGATGAACCTCTTTTCAATACCCCCCTTAAAATCTTTGATTTGTTTGTTTTGTTCATGATATGAGTCATTCTCAGCTTAAGTTTGTTGTTGGTTAAATGTGTCTTCCTCGGTTACTCTCCTGTCCAGAAAGGCTATAGATGCTTTGATGCTCTCTCTAGCAAGAGATATGTCTCTAAGGATGTCCTCTTTTTTCCAGTCATCCCGTCCTTCTCTTCAAGGGGAGAATGCAAGTGAAGATCGGACTCCCTTCTGCCTTCCTGTCCTTGTCTCTTCTGTTCCTCCTTCTCCTCCCTCTCTTCCCTGTAATGATGGTATTGCTTCTCCTCCTCTTATGTATCGGCTTTGGTCCTAGCAGCAGTTTTTCATCAGGCGCAATAAGAGGGTGGCTCCTAAAGTAGAATGTCCATCACAATTTGATCTCCCAGACTCAGGTGATCTTGAACCTCCTGATAATTCTATTATTGATCCTGACCTTGATCTTCTTATTGCCATTCGAAAAGGGAAGAGGACATGTAACAAGTACCCTATTACTAACTATGTGTCTTATGATGCTCTCTCACCTTCCTATTGTGCCTATATTTCTGCCATATCTTCTGTTTCCAACCCTTGTAGTGTTACAGAGGCAATGCAGTCCCCTCATTGGAAGGAAGCTATGAACCAAGAGATGGAGGCCCTAATAAAGAACCAGACTTGGGAGGTTGTTCCTTGTCCTAAGGATAAGACTCTGGTTGGGTGTAAGTGGGTCTACATTGTTAAGCATGAGGCAAATAGCTCAATTGAGAGGTACAAAGCTCGGCTTGTAGCCAAAGGATACACACAAGCTTATGGCATTGATTATTTGGAAACCTTTGCTCTAGTTGCTAAAATGAAATCTATTTGTGTGATCATGTCTCTTACTGCCCATTACTCTTGGTCTTTATATCAAATGAATGTGAAGAATGCCTTTCTCAATGGGGACTTACAAGAGGAAGTGTATATGGACTTACCACCTGGGGTGAGCTTTCCTAACAGTGAAGGAAAAGTTTGTCGCTTGAAGAAATCCTTGTATTGGCTCAAGCAATCTCCTAGAGCTTGGTTTGACAAGTTCAAAAATGCTATCTTAAAGATTGGGTTTTCTCAATCTCAGGCAGACCACACTTTATTCATTAGAAGAGTTGATGGTAGAGTAACAATTTTGATAATATATGTTGATGACATTGTTGTGACAGGTGACGATATCACATGCATCTCCCAGCTAAAGTCCTTCCTTGCTTCTGAATTTGAGATTAAAGACCTTGGTGATCTTTAATACTTTCTTGGCATTGAAGTTGCAAGATCTAAAAAGGGAATTTTTCTGTCACAAAGGAAATATGTACTTGACTTGCTTCATGAAGTTGGAAAATTAGGGTATAAACTTGTAGAAACTCCAATTGATCCCAACCACAAGTTGAGTGCTACTAAAGGAGAAGCTCTTCCAGACAGAGGGGTATATCAGAGATTGGTGGGTCGCCTTTTGTATCTCTATTTGACTAGACCTGACATATCCTATGTTGTTGGAGTGGTTAGCCAATATATGCACGAACCTAGGACCTCTCATATGCAAGCAATTGATAGAATTTTATCCTATTTGAAAGGATGCCCTGGTAAAGGGATGTTGTATTCCAACCACAACCATCTAAAGATTGAAGCTTACATAGATGTAGATTGGGCAGGGTCCATTGATGATAGAAGATCAACATCTGGTTATTGTGCATTAGTCGGAGGCAATGTGGTTTCATGGAGAAGTAAGAAATAATCTGTGGTTGCTCATTCTAGTGCTGAGGCAGAATATATAACAATGGTTCATGGAGTGTCTGAACTACTCTGGTTGAAAACCTTATTGGCTTAGATGGGCATCCAAGTGGATATCCCAATGAGACTATATTGTGACAATCAAGCAGCCATAAACATTGCTCACAATTCTGTTCAACATGATCGTACAAAGCATATTGAGGTGGACAAACACTTTATTAGAGAAAAAATTGCTAGTGAAAAGATTTGCCTTCCTTTTGTAAGATTGGAAGACCAACTATCTGATTGCCTCACCAAAGGTGTTCACCACCCAAAGTTTGCTAAGAACCTTGCCAAGTTGGGCATGATTGACATATATGCTCAGCTTGAGGGGGAGTGTTGAGAAAGTTTAGGTAAGGGTGTTTTTAGTCTTTACCTCTTCCCTTTGTACTCTTTTTGTATTTGGGCGCACAAGTAGGGGTCTCTTTATAATTTCTTGTTTCAAAATATAAAGTGTCTTTTGAGGGTGTGAATAGTAACAAAAAACACACCACTCGACACATTCCTCTTCTTCTTTTCCTTTCTCTCTTTCCTTCTTTCTTTCTCATGCAAACCCTAGATTTACAATACTAATTTCCAACCAAGTACAAATACAATCTTTCAACAAAAACTGAGTACAAATACAAATATGTATAACGCAAATACATACAAAATACAAGGTTTTGCATTCTACATATTTGTATTTGTACGCTTTCCAAACTAAGCCTAAATGACTTAACAAATGGCCTGAAAACAAGCACAAACTAACTATGACCAAACAAATCAAGACCCTACAAATAACATGTAGAATGATCAAAACATCCCTACTGTCCAAAATTACATAAAAACTTGGAAATTTCTAACTTTGATTCTTTGTCTTCTGTATCAAGTGGAGATTTTCTGGAAGAATCTAAGGTCATGAAATAGTTGAAGAAATTCCAAACAAATATGTGTGTGCCAACGAAGGGTTGTTGATTTACAAATTCAAGAAAGAGATTGTATCTCTCAACTTGTTGATTTACAGCTTTCTCTTGACATGACAATTCTCTTGAAGGGCTGAAAGAAATCAGAAAATAAGCTCCTTGAAGGCATCTCTTAAGAAAGCATTAATTTGAAGATGTGCTCTTAATTTTATACAAGACGCCCCCATTATGGTACAACGTAAAGCTATTAATGCATTTGCAGGATTTTTAGGATCATGATTAATTCTTCAAAAGGGTGGAGTGAATTTTTATCCTATTTTAAAACTCCAAGATGAGTTTTCTTTCTTTTTTTCCTTTTTCCCTAAACCAAGAGAGAATGATGCAAAGGATTCAAAGGTTATACATACGCCATTTGGGACTCAATTTGAAATTAGACAAAGGGTTATCTTAAGTTAACCACTTGACTTTCTACCCAAATTTGAGGGTTTCAAACTTGCATGTTTCGTCTGATTCTGGTGTCAGCTGATGGGTTATTTGGGTAAGTATTGGTGTAGAAATTGTTTCCTTTACACAAGTTCAAGTTTCTAAAAGATGAGTATGTAGGGGTTTTACTTAGTTTCAAGTCATTCCATCTATAAGGTCTATAATGTCAAAGGTGGAAGAGATTGAGAATAAAATTTGCATCTTGGCTCCTTTTGTCTTGGTGCATTGCTCAAGAACTTTTCTTCCTTAGTCTGACTTCATACTTGATTGGGAAAAGGAGTGACTCTTCTTCTCTTAATTTTCTATTTTTCACTACTCTATTTATAAGATACTGGTTGATCCGTTGATCCTTGAGGCGATGTTACATCAATGCTTCTTCTCTTTGGATTTGATGCTCACGAATTTATTCTACAATATAACTCCATTGAATGCCTTTTATTGAGTTTGTTGTGACTTGTGACTCCATACTTCATTCACGAAAAAAGGTTTGATTCCTCTATCTATCTTCTCTTAATTTGTCTTTTCCATTATCTTGTGAGAGATTGGTTCATCTTTGACGCTGCGCTACATTAGAAAGTTTGCAGAAAAAGAATCAGCTACTTAATTATTCATAATAGTCTACACCACTCAAATTAATCGAAAACTAGATCAATAGTACATAAATGAAACTAGGGACATAGGAAAGCAATAGTATTTATTCCTTAGTTTTTTGTGATTGGGTGATTGGTAGTCCCTCCCAGTTTTGCATGGTCTTACACTCCATGGATTCTTGAAGACATTCTATGTAACATTTTTTTTGAAAAGATAAATGTCATTTTTTGTATAAAATGTTATTTAATAACAAAGGCAACGTTTTAGATACTTTTTTGCAGGTATATAATGCAAAACTCAAAAAATAATGAAATATTTTAATAGCATATATTTTTCCATAGATGTTTCCATGGGTCCATGTTTTCTCATATTGTTGAGTCAGACCCTTAGCATGTGTTGGATTTCAACTCCCCATGTCTGTGTCCATGCAGTTGAGTATGAGAAAGCTAGATTACTGGTTAGTAAATAAAATCAAAATAGATGAGACCACGCTATTGCTGGTTGTTCACATAATCTAAAAATAAAAAACCTGTAAGCCTTTAAGCATTTAAAAAATCTTACATTGATTCCTGCACGGGTGACAAGCTTGTGTGGAACGATGTTGACATCAACACAGTAGAACCTGATTCTGCATCATGATATGTAGCAGACATACTCTCAATCAGATGATCAGAATTCCATATTTAAGATTTAAGAACAATTTGGATTGCAAGGTGCCTGCCAACCAGATTACAAGGATGGTGTACCAATGACCCATTTGAGCAGTGGCAACTGGAGTACCTCGTACTGTCCTATAGGTAGGTGATAGGCCCCCAGTTAACCTTACGTATGCTAAGAGAAAGAAAAGGCAGCATAAGGGGGAGATGATTAGACATGGGGCATTTATGGAGGAGGTCAGAAGGGAATAGGAAGAGTCTTGGGGCATTTATAGCTATGTCAGTTATGAATAAGAAGAGTTTTGGGGCATTTATAACTAGGCCAGCTGGGCATTTATAGAGAGAGTCAGTTATGCTATCAGAAGAGTAAGAAGGGGCTTTGGGGGATGGGGGGAGGGAGGCTTTCTTTGAGTGAAGATTGAAGAATACTGTGAGTATTTGGGAGAGCCGGCGGTCTCTCGAAGTACCGACCAACTATTAATGTTTTCTGCTGAATGAATACTAGTTTCTTTTGTTGATGTTCAAGTGTGTGAACTCTGCTGTGAGTCTGAGAACTGTGTGTGAAGTTTCTGGGTCATAACAGTAGGACACTTATGATGGGAGGGTTCCAGGATTTTGTTTGGTTCCATTAAGTGAATCTTTCATGCTAAAACTGATATAATTAGATGACACTAACCATTTGATTCTGGACTCCATTCAATGGTGAACAAGGCATAAGTCAAAATAATGAACTGAAGGGGAATGGATCACACTGTTAGATGAGTATAAATCTCCGATCAAATTCTTTAGCACTTTGAAATCTCCCAGATGGTACAGTTGTTTGTATGGTCATATGGCAGTGGTATGGCCAATCTGGTACCAAGTCATCATGGTTTTTCTATCAGCCACTGCAAATTAAAACTGAGTTTACTCCTACATCAAATACTGTGCAATCTGGTATCAATGCCTTCTGCAGGAAGATCTTGGGTTACTTCATAATAAAATAAAACTATCCCCTATCTTAATCCAGTAAAGCTTACTAGAAAGGAAAAATTCTTTAGACTAGTGACTTTGGAAGGGGGATGATAGTGACTTTTACTTTGAAGTTTTAATAAAGGATAGATTTCAATTAAAAGCAGATTAACAAGTCTAAGCACAATATGGTTAACAGAGAAAACTGAAAAGTCTAACCTCGGATGGTAATGTGCTGCCAATTTTTCCAACTTGGGTTTCAAATATATACATTTTCGACACCAGCTTGCCATCCTACATGTCAATACAGTTTTACATGAGGTCATTTCAGTGTGAGATTTGAGAAGAACAGAATTATTCTAAAAACATGAAAATATGTCCATACAGCCTTGAATGAGAAGCCATTTCAAATAAACAGTAACACCAGGGCTGAGAAAGGCTCAAAACGGGGTTACTGAAAAAATTGTTCAAATACAAGTACAAGCTTTGGAAAAAAGCTTGAAGTTCCACATAGAAGTAAAAATCAAGTTGACTGAGGTGACTCTTTCATTGAATTTCTACAGTTTTTCTAACAAGTATTCCCCCAAAGATGTTGCTTGAACAAACTCCCGAACGCTTCCGAGTTTTAAGCATTTAAACCAACTTATTATTATTCTTTTCGTTCAAGAAAATCCCCTAAATCTCTGCCTAACCAAATCCAATAGCTGAATTATAGGTCTTCACCAAGTTAGAAGAAACACCAAATAAATAAAAGAGAACTAATGCCCAGAAACGAACCAAACAACAATCACCGATTCTTCGAGCTGTTGTGCCTCGGCAATCATCCGGTCAAACTCTGCTTCGCTGACGATGGGCTGGAGTTCGATTGAAACGGGTGCATCGAGGTCCTGCACAGGATCCTCTGTGCTCCAAGCAGTTGCCTTCATGATGTTTCTTTGAAATGTGTTGTTGGTCTTAATCGGAAAACCCAAAGGACTTCTAACCAAAGCAGCTGCTCTGGGCTCTAATGTGGAGAAGCAATTAAGAAAACTCACATGCCCAGATGAGGATTCGCATGGTTTTCTTCGTTGCAGAGATTGGACGCAAGGAGAGAACCGGAGAGAGTCAGACATCTCCAGAAAAAAGTAGTGAGATTTCAGACAAAGGTTCAAAGGGTCTGGGTTTTATAGGGAGACCGAGATTCCTCTCAAACCCACCCCACAAACATTTAAGACCCTCACCAGCCACGGTTCGGGTAAATCTCAACCTCCGCCCCTCCATTTCCACCGACCCCATCTCCTACCAGTCTACCACGTTAGCATAAAGCAAATATTATGACTTTAATACCTTTTCCTCCACTGACCCCATCTTTTTATATACAAATAAGGCTGTAACTTGGGCCGGGTTGGCCCGAACCCAACCTGAAAAAGTCCGGTTGGGTTGAAATTTATGAACCCGACTTTATTTTGGGTTACGCTAAGATTGACCCCTCGGGCAACCCAATCCAACCCGAATCCGATTCTATAATACATATCATATATAAATGGGAAAATCTATGATATGGAAAGAGTTTTGACCAATCAAAACCCACCCATGAATTTTGATAAATAACACCCGATTCGCTACCAAGTAGTCTATGATTCCGGTTGATTGGTCAGGTGTTTGGATGTCACATCTTTTCCATATCATAGTTGAACCCTATATATATATATATATATATAATACATTGATTTGTTTAGATGCATGATAGTTGTTAACTCAATTTTCACTACATATATTAATCCTATGTTTTATTAGTATTTGTTTATTGATATTTTTGTTGGTTCTCTATGTACAAAATTCAGAAAAAAAAAAAGTGTTTGAAATGACTATAGTTTATTATGAGTTATGACTTATAATAGGTCTTTTATAGGCAGCAAGTTATGGGTGGCAAACAACGGAGAGGAAATAAAGAATAAAATATTCTAAAAACATAAAATATGTTATTAAGGTTTTAGTATTTCCAAATAGGATTTAGTGAAGTGAAAATTGAGTTAAGATCTTAGATTAAGAAGTTCTACAAGATTTTAAGGGATGGGAAGAAGGTTTGGTTGGACCCAACTCGAGCCCAACCCAACCTGAAGTTGGGTTGGGTTAGGGTTGGAGGTATTTAGTTAGGGTTAGGGTTAGGTAGGTCGGGTTGGGGGTTTAGAACTTAGGGTTGGGCTAGAGTTGGCCTCAACCCGACCTAACCTAGCCCGACTTGCAGCCTTATATACAAAGTATGAAAGATGTTTTCGGTTTTGATGTAGGAGAAACCACTATGGCCCTCTCTCTTGAGCAATGTTTTTGAAACCCGAACGGTCGGACCATTCAGGCAACTGGTTTCGTTTTACCCCAAACCCGATCTCTAGTAAAAAACCATTGAATTGACCATTGAACCGTTTGACGCAAAGAACGGTTTGCGGTTTATTACTTCTGACAAGTTAGAACAAGAATGAAAAGAGAAGATCTCTCAAATTTGAGATCTACTAGAGAGAGATCAGTTGAGTGATGTGTGAGACAGTGAGAGAGATCTAACATTTAGAGATCTGGGAGAGCAATCTAGATGGCAGATCTGCGAGAGAGAGAGAGAGAGAGAGAGAGAGAGAGAGAGAGTAAGTGAGATTTGAGACTGAGAGAAATCTCATATCTACTTTCGTCGCCAATTCGCCACCATCGTCGTCGTTGTTGCCATTGTAGTTCGCCATTGCCATCACTGTAAGTTGTTGTCATCGTCACTGATGCAGCTTGCAAGTAACCTCCTTTTCTTCTTCTTCTTCATCTATTGCCATCACTGTAAGTCATTGTCATCGCCGCCAATGCAGCTTGCAAGTGACCTCTTCTTCTTCTTCTTCTTCTAAGTTCTCGCAGTCATCGATAGCTTCTCAAATCTCTCTCATTCCCAAACGATCAAACCTTATTTCTCTTATATTTATATGCATCTTACCCTAATATTCCAATCTAATGGGTAAGATGACATATCACCCATTAAAATATTTAAACCGTTCGAATCATTTGACCCAGATAGTCGAACCACGGACCCAAAAACTGGTGGCCAGAATGGTTCCGTTTCCGGGTTGGTTTTTAAAACCTTTCTCTCGAGTTCGGATCACCTACCAACAAAACAGATTCCAACTCTCTACCAAAATTATCTCACACGGCACATCTCATACTTGGTAGGTCCTATTTTTATGGTGGATCCATTCACACGGTGAGATGTGTAGTGTTAGATAAAGTTGGTAAAGGGTTGGAATGTGTTTTGTTGGCAGAAGATTCCAATTCCTCTCTCTCCTCTATAGAGCTGTAAAGTGGGTCGTGTCACCCGTCTAATAACTATAATAATTAGATTGTGTCCAATAATTAAAGTATTGGTACCAGACAACTTAAATACGGATAAGAATATGTTTTGAAAATGCATGGATATGAATGAAAATATGAAAATGCTTGAATACATTACGAAAATGCATACAAATTTCATAAATATATTAATATCATTAAATTTAATGTCAAAAGTTTTTTTCTTGCTTGCTTTTCCATGAAGCAATGTGCTATCCGAAGCTTCTATAGTTCTGGGTAGCATTTGTTGAGAGATCAAATCTCTTTCGAATGATCGGATCAGGAGTCTGTTTGCTAAAGAGTCGAGGAAGATCAATATAGTCATGGAGAAGAGGCTGGAAAAAATGATAGAGATAAGAGAATGGAGGAAAAATTGAAAGTTCTCCAAAGCAAATGTAAGAAAGCATTGTACGGGAGGGTCCTGGTTGATAAGAGAATGAACGCACATGGTGTCCTACAGCATGTGTAAAACTTTTGGCCAGACTCAAGGTATGAAGTCTAATGGCTAGAAAATGAGACATTGTGGATCATGTTCAAGAAAGAAAAGAATCAATGACTGTTCATGAATCATGAACCATGGTTAGTTAATGGGTATCTGCTTCTTCTGAAGAAATGGGGCCCAAATACTCCTGGTGATAGTCTAGTTTTTGAGGAGATGTGTGTTACGGTAAGGATTTTGAGAGTCCCATTAGATAAAAGGTTTTGGGAATGGGGAGAAAAACTAGTGGAGGTTGCAGGGGAGACCGTTAAAGAAGAAAAAATGGAAGGAGATGAAGATGAGGAAGAGGATGTAGAGGAACCATAGTGGGATAGGTTTTTTAGGATCAAGGTTAAAGTAAATGTGAACAAACCATTAGCAATTGGAAATTATGAGGTTAAAGAGAATGGAGAAAAGGAATGGTATAGCTTCTAGTACGAGAGGCTGCCAGTTTTTTGCTACAGATGTGGATTATTGGGACATGAGGAGATAAACTGTAAAAAGGTGTCAGACACCCAAGCAATGGAGGAATTATCGAATCTGATGGCTTCACAAAGTTTTGATACATTTGAGGGTAGACTAAGCTATGGGCTACCACTGAGAGCGATTCTAGAGAAGAAGGATCATAATTTTATAAATATCAAGAAAAAAGTTTCAGAATCAGAGAGAGATAAGAACGGGAAGTTCCAATAGAACAGGGAAGATGGAGCATAGATGGAGTAGTGATTGAAACTACTGACTAGGAAAGATGTTGATCCTCCGCTTGCAATGGAGAAAGGGGGGGGGGGGCAGAGAGCGGCTCTCCATTACATGAGAGATCTAATATTCCAAGAGTGGTTGATTCTTGTAGAAAGAGACTATTCCAAGAAGCTCCTAGCCTCAATGTTGATTTCAGGAACCTTCTTTCACCAAAGGGGATGATACACTTGATAATTTCGCCAGAGAAGATTCATTGGAGGTCGGAGACCGAGGAAGGGGATGGTATGGTCAAGGATTTGACCATTGCAAGAGGGGGGAGCTCGATGATGGGGGTCATGATGGTGGGGTCAAATCAGATAGGGAGCTATCGGCTATCAAACCAAGCTTAGTGGGCAAGTTTTGCTGAGGTGGTAGGAAAAGAAGTAAGTTTGTGTACTAGGGGAAGTGCAGATGAGTCAGTTAGGATTAGCATCAGCAAAAAAGAAGTAAAAAAGGTAAAGAACTTTTAGTGGAGGTGTCCTTTCATGCTGACGTGGATTTGAACAAGGTGTTGAGAAAAAGGAAAAACGAGGGTGTGATTATTCGAAGTCTGGAGAATGAAAATGGTGAAGATGCAGAGGAAGAAGTAAGTGGGGCCAAGAGAATTAGGCAAACTCAGTTCCGAGGCATCAATAAGGACGGGTCAGGGCTTGGCCAACCAGAGAGGGGTCAAAGTAGATGGAGATAATGATATTGACTTTGATGTCGATGATCTCCTAATGGATAACAAAGAGGACTTAGCTGGAGTGAATGAAGATTATGAAGGAGAAAGCGGTGCTGATGTGGGGATGGAGCTGGAGCATGCAGGTGCAATGACTTTGAGTAGCCAAACGAACCATATTTCTGAAGAGGTATGTCGACTCCCTTATCAATACCTTTATTCTTATTTGCTTGATTGTGATAATAGTGTGTATTTTGGATGGATGGTTAGAAATGCTCAAAAAATAATTCAAGCGAGGAAAGAAAAATGGCCAAGTAAAAAAATAACTTTTTATAGGTTCAGAAAAAAAAAAAGAAGAAACAGAGGTGGGATGTAGAAGATTTGATGAGGAAGAGACAGGATAGGACTCTATTGACTAGTAAAGCAGCAATAGTTAGCAAAAATAAAAGACAAGGAAAGGGGAACTTAATGAAAACAACAAGGGGGATTTCTGAAGTTACTTTTGAAAAGAATGCCAAGTATTGACTAACCCAAAAAAAATTACAAAGGTTTTGAATCCTGTATGTCCCCAAAACTTTCTATAAATTTTTTGTGCTTTTGTTTAGTGGGTTCAAATTATAATAAGTAGGTTAGGGGCTCTATCTCAAAGCAGGCCCTAGGTGGTAAATGAAGATATTAAGTTGGAATTGTTAAGGAATGGGGTTAGCCTTGACAATTCGGGCTTTAAAAGAACCGAAATAAAATAGGAGCTGATTGCATTTTTTTTATGGAAACAAAAAGCTCACTCTTAAATGTAAAGAAAAAACTAAGAGTTTCAAAGATTGGAATTATTGGGGTGTGGATGCTAGAGGCTTGAGTGGAGGACTGGCTTTGTTTTGGAAAGAGGATTGTAAAACAAAGGTTTTCTATGCAAATGAAAATTTTATTCATTTTTCCTTTATTAATCATAGAAATGAGGATTGGTTTTGTACCTTTACTTATGGAGAACCGAAGAGAGCTAAAAGGAAAATTTTTATGGAAAAATGGAGATGTTTAGCTAGCAAGGTTCAAGGTC